TCAGCCCTGGGCTGGTCTTTGCTTCCTTCGCTTTTCGGCTGCTTCCTCGGGCTGGCCGACCGCCCCCGGCTCTTCCTGCCCGGCCCTGGCGCAGCACCTGGCGGGGGGCCGCTGCCGCAAGGCCCCGTCCCCCTTTTTCTGGGACTGAGCGATCGATCTCTGGGCCTTCTCTGGGGGTCACCTTTCACAGTCTTTCCTACATGTTCCCCCCGACGCTGACTAGCTGGCTTCTGGGGGCTGGCAGACCTGCCTCTCTGGACAACACCGTTCTCGTCTTTCAAGGTATTTTTCTTGTTACAATGCCCGTGGCTACTGGCTGGATCTTTTTTATTCACATTTTTCTGGGAAAGAGACTGATGCTTTTTATCAGACTGATTTTCATTTAAAGTGCTTTTCTTTCCAGGCACAGTGTCCTTTGCTGCTTCTGCCTTTTCACATATCTGAGCTCTCATTAGAGATTCTTCAGTTACTGGCACATGAGACTCTTCAAATATGGAAGCAGAACGTGGAGATGGGGGAAATGGTGACTGCTCATCATAAATCACATTGGAAGAGGAAGGATTATAATCCCAATCACCTAAAAGAAAGTGGTTCGGGTGCATATTACTAAATATTAGAATTATACAAGGGAAAAGTTTTCAACTTTGACAGCCATTTATCTGAATTGATCTCACTGCTTCACACAGCCCAACTGAGTATTTCATAAAGCTTATATATACTTAGATATCTCTCAATAAAGGCCAGATTGCAGACAGCTGTACTTGAACATGAAGCATAGACTGTGTATATACGAAACAGCAGTTTTCATTTTTCCAATTGCTTATGCACAACGACTGAGAATATGATGTGTAAATGCTTTCTAAGCAGTAAAGCCCAAGTGAAAAACAACTGGACCAACTGACCTGGTCCAAGAGGTTTACTACTTTAGCTGTTGCCAATGGATACAGCTTAAGGACAGGCCAAGCCACTCCTGCAGGAGAGCAGACTACGGAAGCCAGAATGAGGTTCATGGGCATTTGAAAGCAATTTTCTTGCATTAAGCTGTCAAATATAACATCAAAAGGAAACTGAAAGTGCAGAAGACAGGAATAGACGTATTTAATAGCAACATTTTTTTAATTAAAAAAAAAAAAAGAAGGAAGTGGTTTACAAGACATGCAAATTTACCAAGTCTTTTTAAGGAAAGACCAAGAAAAGCCCTGAAAGCCTTAATGTTGCTCAGGTTTCACGTAGGAGCACAGACCGGAAGGAGCCAAACCTGAAGAAGGAAGAGAAAAAGCCTAGGACTATGTAAAAAAAAAAAAAAAAAAAAATCAGTGCAGTTAGCAAAGATGTCACACATGATTTCCAAGCAGATGGTGGAAGATAACAGAATCACAGGCTGGAGGGGTTGGGGGGCTCACGCATCCCTCGGGGCCTCCCGGGAGGGAACCGAAGGGCTGCAGGACATCCTGCCAGACCAGTGTGCGGCTGCGAAAGGCGACGCTCAAGCACCCCCACACGTCAGAAACATGCAGTGAGATGAAGGGCGTTCAAGGCCAGCCCGGGGACAGGCAAGACCCTGGGCCCCACTCCTGTGAGGGCCGGGCTGTGGCAATTTGTTTTTGACAAGTGACGGGAAAAGTCTCCATTCCTTGCCCTACTCATAGACTCACTACAAGGAAATAAACAACCTCTGAAGAGATTGCCAGCATTCTCCGTGACATTTAATTCTGCCTTGCGTGTCCTTATTTTTGTAGAGGCACATTTCTCCACACGAGCAGCTATATGTTGCTGCTGAAATTGGCTCGGTTTGTATCTCATTCCAACAGAAGTCCTGCCCGAAGCCACTTATTCTGTAATAACTCTCACGCCCTGTAACTAGTGTTAACACGGCCCTGACGTCTACCCCGTCCGCGCCAGCTAGAACACCTCCTCCCTCCACGCAGCTCTTCCCATTCCTTCTGCCTCACACACTCCCCGCTTCTTAGCTACAAGCGACCGACTTACCATGGTCAGGGATCAAGCCCGTTCCTGGCCTCAGGAGCAGGAGGACTTTATTTCCACCGGCCTGAATGAGCTCAATTGCCCGGGTGTGTGTGATGCCCTGTGTGGGCTCCCCGTTGATTTCGACGATCTGGTCGCCGACCTAGACAGGGAATTGAGAGGCATAATGTGAAACTGCTTCGCGTGTGCACCACGCGACCTTGCTAAGTGACTCGCTTTGAGATGTTTCACTTGCGCACGGGACTGTCGTGGTAAGGTCGGTGGGGGCTGGGCAGACGGGAGCAACGGGAAGAGAAACGTCCAGTTTGATTTACTCCAGAAAAACCCGACTTGGGCAAGCGTTATGTGCTAGTAAACCGGAACTGGACATCTTGACGTGAAGACTCAGACTGCAAGTGTTCCATCAACAACCCAGTGGTAGGAAAGGTGAAGACTCTCTAACCCAAGTGGTACCACAGAGACAACGAGCGACGTGTGAAAGGCACTTTCTAACCTGACCTGAATCTGACTTCATTTCCTAAAACCTGGGCAGCAGGGGCCTCGCCCTGGAAGCCGTTCCTTACCTCAAAGAAGGCCCTACACTCTGTCCACATGACACATTTGATGAGAGGTTAAAAATAGAAAAATGCAGCCTGGACAATATGCTAGTGATTAATTACAATTAACACCGGGCTCATGCTCCATGGTTTTAGTGTGAAATGATTTTCCTAGAAAACGAAACTAGGGATTAGGGTTAAGATGTCCCAGGAGCCAGTTATCCACTAGGAATGTGACCGGGAGCCACTTCCTATGAAAAAAGAAAAGCAGGGGTCAGTGTCACTTTTATAAAAGGCTGAATATGTATTTCACATCTATCTCAAGGCGAGAGCAGCCAAAGGCCGTCGACGTCACATCAGCGAAACCTCAATGGGGGAAAATCACTTAAATCCCCAACACCGATTTCACTATTTCTAAGAGTTCCAGGAAACAGGCTAGGACGAACACGGCCGCAGAGGACCCATTATTTATGGGCAGCAGGGCACGGATGCTGCCCTCGCCAGGGAGGCTGGCGCTGGAGTCACGTGGGGGTCTCTCTGCTCCCCTCTTCCTGGCCTCATTTTCTCCCCTGTTCAATGGGGACAATTTTAGTACCTACCGCCTGGGATTGTTGGGGGATTTAATAACATCAAACAGGACTAATACTCCAAGCACAGATACACGTTAGTTTCTGAGTTAATTTTTTTTTTTGAATCAGAAAAGCCAATCTTAAAAGACTGAAAAGTGTATCAGCATGGAGATTTACCTGCACACCACACCCCATTCTACACAATCTCATATACTTCCAGTAAACTGTGAAATAGGAAATAAATATCTTGTTGCTTCTATGAGAAAGAAGAGGAGAGTATCGCCGGGGAAGAATGAGAGGTTTTTACAGAAACAGTTTAACATAGTCGGAGAAAAATGTCAAAAACACAACCAACATCATGAGATGATAATAAACATAAGAGGGTAGAGAAAAAATGAAACCTAATAAACCAACACATGTCAGTGAAACGCGAGTCAATATCCGGACTTCCCGGGAGTGGAATCATTTTCCTGAAGAAGCAGGCAGCTCTCACAGCACCAGGCACACCGCCCCGCTGCGAAGAGAGACACGGCTGTCACAGCAGCTATGTGGGGCCGGCTTTGGGTGTCACATCTGACAGCGTGACTGGGGTCCGGATTAATTTCCACCACATCCTTCGGTCTACAGTTACTGACCACCTTAGGATAAAACCAAGGGATGACACGATCTGACGCCAGTCACCTGTGGTTTGTAGAAAAAACAAACATGCACTAAACTAAACCACAGCTTTGGGGCTAGAGGGCCAATTTTGCTTGTTACCAGAACGAACCGGGAAAGCCCAGAGGGTAAATTAGGGGAAAGGCGCCAAAGTCACGGCCGCACTGAATGCAGTACATGAGCTTGCTGAGTCTCGGCGATGACCTCCTCAAGCTAATGCTGTAATGAAATGTTACTTCAACGAACAGCCAATGCATTGTCCAAACCTGTGTGTTTCCTGTCTTGGAAGTGCAGCAAATAAACTGCAATACAACTTGTAATGGAGAGACTTGCCGCCAGGTGTCACTTTTGGTTAATACTAAGTTTTGGGGTGAGGGGGAGAGAGTCAAAGCTTTGGGGTTATGTAGGTGGGTCCTTAGGTGGGGAAGGACTTCTCTACTGGGCTGCACAAAGCTGAAGATAAAAAACAGTAAGTTGGGAGGGAAATGGAAGCATTCTTTAAAGTTCTTGTTACTTAAAAATTTAAATGTAAGAATAAAATGGGCAATCTATCTTTTAATAAAACATTCATGTTCAGATTCGCATTACTGAAAAAAATTATGGGGATGGAGGACAGGAGAGAACATGGGGAGGAAAAATGATAATAGGAGAATCAAAAGGAGGAGGAGACAAGTTTTATTCCTTTGAAAAAATTATCTTTAGGCAATCTTTAAAACAACCTCCACTGCAAATGTATTTAAAACACAAAATAACATTCCTACGCATTGTTTACACCACCTGAACACTCCTAAGAGAATCAATTCAGATGGACACAAGAGAGGCTGGCTGTCACCAGTGCGCAGGCTGGACCCAGGGCAGCAGTCTGGGGCGGGGGCGCTGGGTGTGGGACGCACAGGCTGTCAGTGAGCTCAGCAAGCGGCTAAACCTCCCCAAGCCTCAGTTTTAAAAACTCAGGTGGGGATAATGCTACTTACCTCAGGGTTTTTCTCAGAATAAAACTAATGAAATGAAGATACCAGATGCCTAAAGATAACAGGCTCTTGCTATTTTCAAAGTAAGATTCTGTCTTACCTAAAATATTTAAACATTGTTTCCTACAGTGAACCTTTCCATTCAGTGGCTTTCTCATTCCCTTCATCCTCCGCTCTCGACATCAGAACTTGATTTACACTTCTGACCCACTGAATTTACAGATCCTTTCATTGCATCCACCTCACAGCTGGATGTGTTCTTGTTTTAGTGGATTACCCTGTGACAATACTCGCTCATGGCTTCACCACCCCAGTCCTGTGGCCCAGTAATAAGTTCTTGAACCTAATTTTAAGCATTAAAAAAAGTACCACCACTTTGTTACGCAGAAGTCTTAGCCATCCACTTTCAACGGGCAGAACAGGGAGCACAGGTGTTGGCCGCCCAGCAGAGAGAGGCAAGAGCAGCGAGACCAGAGGAGAGGTAGGCGGGAAGCTCAGCTGGCTCCAGCGTGGCGGCCTCAGCTGGAGAGGAACTCAGCATCTGGGCAGAGGCCTCCGGCCTGAATACCAACTGGATGTGGCAAACTCAGAGCCGCAAGCACATGGCAGCCCTTTCTGAGCAGGAGAATCCACTATCCAAACACTCACCAAGAGCATCTGCTTTTCTGTGAAGTCTGCTTCTTTAACAAGGAAAATAAAGCAAGAATCAGCCCTTTTTTGATGGCTGTTGCTTGTAGAGCAGGACAGAGTCCTCCTGGGAGGAGGCTGCTTGTGTAGAATTTAAAGCTTTTAGCTTACAACCTAACCTAACAGTAAACTCATTACCTAAACCGAGGTCAGGAGGTGTTTTCTATAGAATGCCTTCTATGGAAGGCTTCTTTAGGAAACACCCAGGGAAGGAGGTCCCCCTAAACAAGCTGGCTTTCAGGATGTTCCAAACAACGTACAGTATTTTGGAACATCACTGAAGTGAATCGTGGCCACCAAATAATGGTGAAGGACCGACCACCATTCTTTTCGATCTCTTGTTACCTATAGAGGCAGCCAAATTTTAAAAGGAATCCTGGGTCTGCTGTTTCTTGGAAGAAGTCAAAGATTCTGTTTTGTCCTGCGGTTTTCCCAATCCATTTAGTACGATCAAAAGATATTTAATTTATTGACCCATTAGCCCTCAAACGTTAACTATCGTTATTTTCTCACTGACCAGTCAAGGTGGCGGCAGTAGCGTAGCAGCGCTCAGCGAGAAGGGGAAGGAGGTGGAGCGAAAGCTTTGCCTTTGGGGTTTTGGAGACAGCAAATCTTGCTGCGTAGATTCAGGAGGTACCTACAGTCCCTTTCACCAACTATTTCCAGAATTCTCCCGTCTGGAGCCAGAACCAAGGTGCAGAGGAGAGCCAACTCACGTGGATGCGGCCGTCCTTGATGGCAGGCCCCTCCTCCGCCAGCCGCAGGATGAAGAGCCCCATGTTGTATTCCTTGCCCCCTCGCAGGCTGAACCCGAAGCCCCGGGGGCCCCTCTCCAGCTCAACTGGGTAACAACCGAGGCTCTAGAGAGAAGTGTAAGAAAACAGGCATTCGTGGACTGCTATATTTACAGCTTGCAGAAAAGCTACTTTTATCCCTGGGAGGAGTGACTGACACTCCCCCATGCTGTGTGTGCCACAAGGAGGGCTGGTCCGGTTGGCCCGGGCCAACAGTCTCGGTTTGGGAAACAGCCTAAGTTAATCAGAAGGCTACACATTTTCTCTCCTGGTGAAGCAGCTGCCACAGAATAACCAGAGAAGTGGTACTTGGAAAATCCTTCCTCTAAGTAGATTTTTGACTAGATTTTATGAAGACAACAACAAAAACCAAACTCAGACCGTGGCCAGCTATTGCGCTGCTACTCCAAGTACCTAACCAGGGCTTTACATTTACCATGCGGGGGGACTTCTCTTTCCCTCCACATTCGCTCATGAAAGCCAGTACTGTACCAAACACACAGCTCAAGAATTACTAAATCTGGAAGCGAACTTATGTGACTGGAAATGTCACCAGTGTCTGCAATGGGCAGGTGGGCTAACGCGATTGGGGTGCGGGGTACCTGGCTGTGCCGGCCGCCCACCACGGAGATGACCGCGGTGTCCGGCTGGGCCAGGTGCCGGTGGTCGGACCACGAGTGTCTGTAGGTGGTGTCTTTTCCTACCTCACCTTCCAGGGCACTTCTAGAAGAGAGCAAACACGTTAGTCTTGGAAATGAGAAAACAACAAATAGTCTAAGGGCCTGCGCAGATGCAGCCAAGCCACGCCATCCCCTGTGACAACCTGCTTAGCGACAAGACTACAGCAGAGCCTTTCGCTCAAGCACAGCGGGAAGCCTGTTTTTCCGCCTCCCCACTTGTTTTGGTTTTGAGGGTGTCTCTGGCTTTTGCATCACGGGAAACTGTCACAGTGAAAAATGGCTTTCCTGCAGATCTAGTGCCTCTGAAGATGCAGCATTTCTGGAAACTTTGTTTGCTTCATGGCTAATGTTTTCAACCAAAGCTGAAAGATACATGTAAAGACTGCTCTTCTCAAGTGGCAGGAGACGCAGCCATCCTGATGGGCCTTCTTTACTGGAAACTTGAGGCCAACCAGAGGAGCAGAGACTCTGTCCTGACCACTCTCTCTAGTTCCCACCAGTCAGGACAAAGATGCTGGGCCCAGGGATGGAGCTGGGAGAAGGGAAGAAAGTACCGAGGGATAGAGGGTGCAAGGCAGGTTTGTGAGGGTGCAAGAGGCACGGTTTCCCATTTTCATGAGGAAATGGCTTCTACACACAGTGTGGGGACAAGAGGGAAGAGTGGGAAGATGAAAGAAAAAATAAATCCAAACCTGAGAACAGCCCTACCTGTCCGCAGATACATGGTTGGCCTGTGACTGACCCATGGGCCGGTGCTGCAGGGCTGGGCTTTGCCGGGCTGAATTTGTTCCTGATGGTGGCCCATGGTGCTCTGTCCACACGAGGGAAAAAAAAAAAAAACAACAAAGCAGAAATAGGAATTGGTACATAAGACGTGAAGGCAGGTAGGTCTACGAGAGTGAGACAGTAACATGGCTGCTGCTTTCCTGGCCTCGACTGTGCGCTGCTGGCAGCTGCCTGGAACTGCTGCATCAACTTCTGTTTACAGTTTATGCTGGGAGAGAACAGGGATTGTGTGCTTCCTGTAACACACTTTACCTCTTTCCCCTGTTCTGGCCATCTATGCAACGTGAAAATCCGAAGGGAACAACATAGTAACTAGAGAGCAGAGGCTACTCAGTGGGTTCTGGGGTGTACACCCACGACCAGTGAGCCACCCAGGGTAATGATGAACACAGAGGCGGGTGCACAGATAACACACGTCCGCAAACCCACATACATCTTAAACATGGCAGCAGTCATTCTACCTGATACCAGATATCAGAGACAAATTTACAAAATCATCCCAAGCACTGACAGATGTTTATGAAGATGGTATTTCTTCTGCTTTCTAAGAACACAAATATAAATTAAAAAGTAACTTTCGCGGTCCTCCCTGGTGGTGCAGCAGGTTAAAGCACAGCACAAGAAGGTAAAGTCACATCCATATGAGTTCGATCCCCACCTGCCCCGGAGGTGACCACATGGCGCGTCAGACCTCTCTTGACCCGCCCGCTGCTCCCCTCAGCAATGTACTTTGTCTATCTGACTGTTCTGCTCCCCGCTCTGTCTCTGGTGAAGCCTCTCACCGCCCCTGAGGCTCTGGCCTGTACCCCAGTTCTGTATGCACAAATAAATAAATCTTAAAAAAAAAGTGTCTTTCACTTTTGTGTTATTCCTGGAAACTCCAGATCTCCTGTGATCCTTGAAGGCAGATACAGTAATTAATCCAGTGACTGCCTGCATACAGGTCTAATTGGCAAACAGCGGAGTAATGAGAGTTAGAGAGAGAGAGATGGTGATGGCTATAAGACACATATTGTTAAACTTGAAACTTTCTTAATGTCTTATTCTGTTTAAGTAACAGAGCAGAGGACGTTTAAAAGATCAGTGAAAGGAAGCAAGGCTTGGTTATTTTGTCCATGAACTCTGGAACAAGACCAATGGGGTTTAAGCCTGATCCCTCATTTCTGTGTGTTCCTGAGAAAGTTACTTCAATTCTCTGCGCTTCTAATCATCTCCTTTATAAGGGAATTAAAACCACCTCACGGGATTCTGAAGGGGTATTAAGTGAGCTTATACATGACTATTTAGAGGCCATTTTTAGGATACAACATGGAGAAACAGAATCTCAGAATATGAGGGAGATAGAGAAAAGATTGATGTTAAAGGACATGAATGTTTATGAAGGAATTTCTTCAGCAAGCTGAAGGAATTTCTTCTTCAGGTGTTACTGTATGTGTCACTATTTTATGGGTTGGACCGAGTCATTTCCAAGTTCCTGGGATGAAAAGCACAGCTAAATGATTTACTTTTATTGAAGAAGCCAGGGAGTGCTGGGGTGTAGCAACGGGCAGGAGAAGAAATGACAAAGGGCCAAGCTGTGGGGGCTGAGGTAGCCCCACTAGAGGCCAGACACCGCTGCCTACCCTGGGGGTCCACCTGGATCTCACCCTGGGGGCCAGCCATAGCAACGGACGACTGGTCACTGGAACTCATCCAGTGGGTTGACTTTCCTCTTTAAAGTCAAGTGCTCCAGGAGGAAAGGGTGGGTAACGAATCGCTAATATTGAGGGTGATTTGGAAATCTGTTGGTCTTTTATGTAACTGTAAATCGTTGTTTTCCTAATTAATGGGTTAACCAGCTACTTGTAACTGGCCTCTTGATGGTCTCCTTGCCACCAATCTTGTCTTTATCCCATTTCCAGTCCTAACGTATTTATTAATATGTCACTGCCTTGCTTAAAAACCCGAGGTGACTACTGCTCACTAGATACTGCCCACACTTATTAACCGGGCCGTGCTGCCTTCCCTCCTTTTCACTTCCTGTTCAGAACATCACTACCTCTGTTAAATTTTACCAGGTTTCTTAAGTGTACCATTTTAATAGCATTTACCACGTCATGGAAGAGTTAGCTGAAGACCTGTCTCTTATGCCAGGCCATGAGCTTGTTGTCTACAGGAATCACACTCATTTATCTTTATATGTTCCTATTAGAAAGTCCCAGAACTCCCTGCCTCTCTGCTTACTTGGAATGCTATTTCACGTTCCTCACTTCTATACTTGAGCCCGTTATAGAACTGAATTCTCTTCTGTCACTGTAAATTCATAACTACTACTACTAGGGGAATGGAAACTGATGGGGAGAATTACATCAATCAACAAGATGACGGGGAGACACTCGCATCTTTGCACGACTTCAATTTAGTAAAAAGATTTTGGCTTCACTGCATGGCTAGCCGCAAGGAATGTCTAACTTCAGTGCAGGCCAGTATAAATTAACTGATCAATTCCAAGTTTCCTGTCTTCTCAAAAGATGAGATGTCACTTCTAGACAAGCTGGTGTCTACTTTTCCAGTTACACATTTCCCCCCTGCCTTAGCATTCATAAAACTTCCTATCATTGACATTCTTTTCATTTTAGTCCATCAACCCATGTTGTATAGCTTCTCCAATTTATTTCTGTGTTAAATCTGTTCCATTTCTGAAAGTTGAATATTTGTTTCATGATATCAAACAGACCTGTGTTCTAATTTTACCTGAAAAGTCTTCAAGTAATAAAGCTATGTTTTAAGTACTTATCTCTCTCCCATTCAATGAGAATTAAACTTTTGGGTGAGTTTCTATCTGTAACTACTTAAGACAAAGTATATTGTTAGAGGCCAAATACAAAGTCCCACGGCTACACTGTAGCAGCAAACATCAAGGGATGGGAATTATCTTTACCGAGAATCAATAAGAACCTTATGAGAGAACTTTGTGAAACTCTGTTCAAGGATGTGAAAGATGATCTGAACACCTGAGGAGACATCCCAAGCTCTTTGATGGGATGACTAATATTTACAGGTATAAACTTACCAAAGTTAGTGTATATGTTAATATATCCCAATAAAACTTGTGCTTTGTTGTTGTCAGGAGGAGCTTACTAATCTGCTGCTAAACTTCCTATGGAAAGTTCATGAATTCCTAGTAGGTTTGGGGTGGGGTTAACTGGGGAGAGGAGAAAGACTTCCCTTAAGGAGACAGAAATGATACACCACAAAGTTACAGATGAAATAAATATAGATCCAAAAAACAGATAACCCAATAAAACAAAAAAGAGAGGCTGGTGGCTCAAGGTTAACGCAGAAGTTAATATACAGAATCTATGGTTCTATAAATTGAAGAAGAAAAAGAGGTGCTTTCTTAATAGCTGGCACTGGAAAACTGCTTCTCCATGACATTAATAAACAAAACCTAATTCTAAGTTACACACAAAGGAAGGCTGCAGGTAGATGAAAGATCCAAATGCAAAGTTATTTATCTAATAGAAGACAATTAAGAGAAAGTTATCTTTCACATGTAGCGGAGAAGAATGACTTTCTAAAAAAGATTTGTTCATGCACACAAAAACTGGAGGATAGGCCACAGATGTGGGGTAAAAGGGGCGGGGAGGTGAGAAGATTCACTAGAGAAGAGTGGGGAGTAGAACAGGTGATTTACTGAAATACACTGCTGAGGGAGCAGTGGGTGGCACAGGAGAGGTCTGCACCATGTGGGTCACTCTCTGGCCAGGGATCAAACTTGTGCTACAGTGGCTGCGACAGCTTGATAGTGCTGAGACTTAACTCCTGTTAAGGAGGAGGCCAGGATGACTCATCTTAAATAAAACATCAAGTGCATAAACCAGAGGGTAAAAACTGACTAATCTTATTATATCGGAACTAAAAATCTTTGTAGAATAAAGGACGCAGGGTCAAAGTTATTAATGGTCACAGGTGACAGGAGAATATAACTAGTTTCTAAAGCTAAACTGGACTAAAGCCATCTTAATTCACAAAGAATCTCTAATTATCAACAAGAGGAGCCCCCTCCCCCCAAAAAAAATATGAGTAAAGGATATCGACAGGTACTTCACCAGGAGGAAAAAAGCCCCACACAAGCATCTGAAGAGAAGCTCAGATTGATGGGCCATCTGAATGCCAATTAAGTGGCAGGATTCACATTTCCTTACTTAGCCAATCTGAACGCTGGATAATGTCAAGCACTGGCAGGGTGCAAAGGTGCAGGAATCTAAGGTTCTGCTGTGGGGGCGGGGTGGAGACGGCGCCCTCATGGGGGCAATCTGGTGGAAGAGAACTCAGTCAAGCGAATGCGTACCCTTGCATCAAGCAGTTGCACTCCAAGAAATGTTCATGCTGTTTTCTTAGGAGCAGACTGTATCAAGTCTGTATCAGGCTGTATCAAGGAAGTTTGGGGTGACAGAGTTGGACATAAGGTAGTTTTCTGAGGGGATGCAGACAGCTAACGTGTGGTAAAATACACACTACGGAAAACTGTTAAGTAGCAGAAACAATTATGTTCACTCAGCCACATGGATAAGTCTTTAAAGCACATGATGATGCTATGATGTCAGGGACGCAAGAAACCATAGAAAATACAGATGAATTGCACATTGTCAACATTAAATTTTGGGTTATCAAAAGACAGCACCAGCCCTCCCTGGTGGTGCAACGGGTTAGGACACAGCTCTGCAAGCTGGCCATAGCCGCTTTAGTGTGAGTTTGATCCCCGCCCTGGAGGTGACCACATGGCATGGCAGACCTCTCCTGATCCGCCCGCTGCTCCCCTCAGCAGTATATTTTAGTCGATCTGCCTGTTCTGCTCCCCACTCTGTCTCTGGTGAATCCTCTCACTGTCCCTGCACCTCTGGCTTGTACCCCAGTTCTGTATGCATAAATAAATCCTAAAAAAAAAAAGACAGCAGCAAGCAAGAGTAAAAACAACTCATTGCATGGGAGGAAATACTCATAAACTACAGTCACGCAGGGGTCTAGCATCAGACTACATGA